TGGGAAGAGATTTTTGACGTACCGATCCCATGGCATAGTGTTTATGAACTGATACGCAAAACAACACCGGATTCAAAACGTAGAATCTTTCAATTTAAATTATTATATAAAATTCTTGCTACCAATAGAATGTTATTTATATGGGGGATACAATCTTCCCAGCTCTGCAGATTTTCCTGCGAAGAGACAGAATCATTAGATTATTTGTTTTGGTACTGTCCATTTGTAGCTTGTTTTTGGACACAGGTCCAGGAATGGCTAAAGGATTGCAATATTTACCTGGAGCTAACCCTGCAGATAGCACTACTGGGTGATCTGAAAAGTCATAGTCAATCGATCAATAAAATAATAATACTATTAGCAAAAATGTTTATGAGGTGAGATCTTGCATGGAGCCCCAGACCGAGGGTGATTGACCGTCATCTTGAACTTCTTCCATTTTCTAATAATTGCGCCAACAGTTGTTGCCTTCTCACCAAGCTGCTTGCCTATTGTTCTATAGCCCACCCCAGCCTTGTGCAGGTCTACAATTTTATCCCTGATGCCCTTACACAGCTCTCTGGTCTTGGCCATTGTGGAGAGGTTGGAGTCTGTTTGATTGAGTGTGTGGACAGGTGTCTTTTATACAGGTAACGAGTTCAAACAGGTGCAGTTAATACAGGTAATGAGTGGAGGACAGGAGGGCTTCTTAAAGAAAAACTAACAGGTCTGTGAGAGCCGGAATTCTTACTGGTTGGTAGGTGATCAAATACTTATGTCATGCAATAAAATGCAAATTATTTACTTAAAAATCATACAATGTGATTTTCTGGATTTTTTTTAGATTCCGTCTCTCACAGTTGAAGTGTACCTATGATAAAAATTACAGACCTCTACATGCTTTGTAAGTAGGAAAACCTGCAAAATCGGCAGTGTATCAAATACTTATTCTATTTTTTTTTTTTTACATGGGGATTGGAAGTGATGCAGACAATTACATTGATGGAAGTTACAATCTATCTGCAATATTAAGCTGATCTACCCCCAAATAAATACATACATTTAAAAAATGATGCTGGGGATGGACAGATGAGACAATTAACTAATGATGCTGGGGATGGACAGATGAGACGATTAACTAATGACGCTGGGGATGGACAGATGAGACGATTAACTAATGATGCTGGGGATGGACAGATGAGACAATTCACTAATGATGCTGGGGTGGACAGATGAGACGATTAACTAATGATGCTGGGGATGGACAGATGAGACGATTAACTAATGATGCTGGGGATGGGCAGATGAGACAATTAAACTTAATGATGCCCCTGGGGTGGCACGATGAGGCTATTAAACTAAATTATAATGGGGATGGGACAGGATTAGGACAATTAACTCATGCTGCTGGGGTGGACAGATGTGAGTCCGGTTAACTAATGATGCTGGGGAATGGACAGATGAGACAATTAAAAATTAATGATGCTGGGGTGGACAGAGAGACAATTAACTAGTGATGCTGGGGATGGACAGATGAAACGATTAACTAATGATGCTGGGGATGGAAAGATGAGATGATTAACTATGATTGGGAATGGAAAGATGAATGATACTAGGATTCTGGGATAGATGAAACGATTAACTAATGATGCTGAGGATGCACAGATGAGACGATTAACTAATGATGCTGGGGATGGACAGATGAGACTATTAACTAATTATGCTGGGATAGACTACTAATGATGACTGCGATTAACTAATGATGCTGATGGACAGATGAGACTAATTGAACGATTACTATGAATGATGTGAGGGATTGGACGATTAACTAATGATGCTGGGGATGGACAGATGAGACGATTAACTAATGATGCTGGATGGACAGATGAGACGATTAACTAATGATGCTGGGATGGACAGATGAGACGATTAACTAATGATGCTGGGATGGACAGATGAGACGATTAACTAATGATGCTGAGGATGGACAGATGAGACGATTAACTAATGATGCTGGGGATGGACAGATGAGACGATTAACTAATGATGCTGGGGATGGACAGATGAGACGATTAACTAATGATGCTGGGATGGACAGATGAGACAATTAACTAATGATGCTGGGGATGGACAGATGAGACGATTAACTAATGATGCTGGGGATGGACAGATGAGACGATTAACTAATGATGCTGGGGATGCGACAGATGAGACAGATGAACTAATGATGCTGGGGATGGACAGATGAGACAATTAACTAATGATGCTGGGGTGGACAGATGAGACGATTAACTAGTGATGCTGGGGATGGACAGATGAACGATTAACTAATGATGCTGGGGATGGAAAGATGAGATGATTAACTAATGATGCTGGGATGCACAGATGAGAAGATTAACTAATGATGCTGGGGATGGACAGATGAGACGATTAACTAATGATGCTGAGGATGGACAGATGAGACAATTAACTAATGATGCTGGGGATGAACAGATGAGACAATTAACTAATGATGCTGAGGATGGACAGATGAGACGATTAACTAATGATGCTGGGGTTTACAGATGAGACGATTAACTAATGATGCTGGGGATGGACAGATGAGACGATTAACTAATGATGCTGGGGATGGACAGATGAGACAATTAACTAATGATGCTGGGGTGGACAGATGAGACGATTAACTAGTGATGCTGGGGATGGACAGATGAAACGATTAACTAATGATGCTGGGGATGGAAAGATGAGATGATTAACTAATGATGCTGGGAATGGAAAGATGAGATGATTAACTAGTGATGCTGGGGATGGATAGATGAAACGATTAACTAATGATGCTGAGGATGCACAGATGAGACGATTAACTAATGATGCTGGGGATGGACAGATGAGACTATTAACTAATTATGCTGGGGATGGACAGATGAGACGATTAACTAATGATGCTGGGGATGGACAGATGAGACGATTAACTAATGATGCTGGGATGGACAGATGAGACGATTAACTAATGATGCTGAGGATGGACAGATGAGACGATTAACTAATGATGCTGGGGATGGACAGATGAGACGATTAACTAATGATGCTGGGATGCACAGATGAGAAGATTAACTAATGATGCTGAGGATGGACAGATGAGACGATTAACTAATGATGCTGGGGTTTACAGATGAGACGATTAACTAATGATGCTGGGGATGGACAGATGAGACGATTAACTAATGATGCTGGGGAAGGACAGATGAGACAATTAACTAATGATGCTGGGGATGGACAGATGAGACAATTAACTAATGATGCTGGGGCTGGACAGATGAGACAATTAACTAATGATGCTAGGGATGGACAGATGAGAAAATTAACTAATGATGCTGGGGATGGACAGATGAGACGATTAACTAATGATGCTGAGGATGGACAGATGAGACAATTAACTAATGATGCTGGGGATGAACAGATGAGACAATTAACTAATGATGCAGGGGATGGACAGATGAGACAATTAACTAATGATGCTGGTGCTGGACAGATGAGACGATTAACTAATGATGCTGGGTATGGACATATGAGACGATTAACTAATGATGCTGGGGATGGACAGATGAGACGATTAACTAATGATGCTGGGAGGGACAGATGAGACAATTAATTAATGATGCTGGGGATGGACAGATGAGACGATTAACTAATGATGCTGGGGATGGACAGATGAGACGATTAACTAATGATGCTGGGGATGGACAGATAAGATGATTAACTAATTAATGAGTGAGTGAATAAATGAACTTGATTTACTTTTATACAGAGATTACTCTTACATATTTAGTTTTTCTGGTTGGAAAGAGTCACTATCACAAAAATACAGATTTGTTTATTTAACACTGCATTATTTAACATACATACAACATGCTCTGCATAAAATCAATCAACCAATCAATCAATTATACTGGAGGAAGCATGCTCTCATAATACCTAATATTCTGACACCTCTGGTGTGACATGGATGAGTTGGTTGAAAATATTTTAACTTATTTTGTTTTAAGAGTTTGATAAGATGATAATTCAAAAATGAAAATATTTATTGTCGAAGAGTGTAATGTTTGAAGAAAGAGTGAAAGTGATCTTTGTTTTGCTGTTGCCTGATAAACTGTCAATAAAACATTGAATAAAGTTAATAATTCTGAGAGAACACCTGTCTGTTTTCCCTCACTACACTACAACACTAGAACACAGAACACCAGTGGTGAAGATGAGGAGTGGAATTCTAGTGAACAGGATGGGAAAAGTTGAGGAGGATGGTGCCATCTGGCCAGCTTCCTGTCTGAGAGGATGTGAAGTCACCGTCGGCAGGATGAGGTCATGGTCAGGCCAGAAATGTGAATGTCCAGATGGTGGATGTGTCAATTATAAGTTCTCTGCAGCGTATACCCTTCTTTACCTTCTGTTCGAGTTTCTGCCCGACTACATTGCATCAACCAATAGTTGGGTGCCATGTCATCGACTGCGCAGTTGGGCAACAGATTGCCATATCATATGATGTGGTTAGCTGATACTCTACATGATCAAAAGTATGTGGACACCTGCTCGTCGAACATCTCATTCCAAAATCATGGGCATTAATATGGAGTTGGCCCACCTTTGCTGCTATAAAAGCCTCCACTCTTCTGGGAAGGCTTTTCACTAGATGTTGGAACATTGCTGCTGGGAATTGCTTACATTCAGCCACAAGAGCATTAGTTAGGTCAGGCACTGATATTGGACAATTAGGCCTGGCTCGCAGTCTGCGTTCCAATTCATCCCAAACGTGTTCGATGGGGTTGATTTCAGGGCTCTGAGCAGGCCAGTCAAGTTCTTCCACACCGATCTCTACAAACTATTTTATACACCTGTTAGCAACAGGTGTGGCTGAAATAGCCGAATCCACTAATTTGAAGGGGTGTCAACATACTTTTCTATATATAGTGTATGTTAAATACCTATGCAGGCATTGTAAGATCTGGCATACGTCTGCAATGTAGTTGGCCTAGAACTCCAACTCTCACAAATGCACATTCTTACACATGTGCGCTCTTGGCGTGGTTGCCCGTGACTACGGCGGTAGGGGCAAGGTTAATGGGCGTGGCGCCGCCTGCCTGTCTGGAGTAGTAGTAGCTGTTCTCCTGCCTCTGCGGGGTCGCCGAGGGGTCGTTACCACGGCAACACAGAATCATGAAGCTCCCCAGAAGGCAGAGGGCGGAGCCGACCCATCCGGTGTACAGTGAGATGCCGAATGACATTAGACCCTCCTCTGCGTGAGAACCAATAGGAAACCAGATGGTCGACACCAATCCACAGAGGGCTGGGGAGAGAGGGGGCAGGAGGAAGAGGAGGAGAGAAAGAGAGTTGAGTCAGCTTTTGTCCCCCAACTGGGTCTGTCAGTCATGAGGCTGCTGACAGGGACTTCCTGTCCCACACAGGAAGCAGGAAGAGAGAGGGTGATCTGAGGTCATCATTAGTTACCACAGTCACAGAATCATAAGCCTATTTCGACAATTTTTCTTCTTAAAATCTGATTTTAAACCTTACATGCTGACCAGACCGCTCGCGTGCGTCGCTGTGTGCCATCGCGCCGATGTTGATTTTGTACACCCACACCAGACGCGATCAGGACATTGAAGGTTGAAATATCAAAACGAACTCTGAACCAACTATATTAATTTGGGGACAGGTTGAAAAGCATTAAACATGTATGGCAATTTAGCTAGCTAGCTTGCTGTTGCTAGCTAATTTGTCCTGGGATATAAACATTGGGTTGTTATTTTACCTGAAATGCACAAGGTCCTGTACTCCGACAATTAATCCACAGATAAAACAGGAAACTGAGTTCGTTTCAAGTAACTTTAATGAGCATTACCACCACCAACTGGACTGGAGTGTGGACCTCAGTTCATCTTTCAATCACCCACGTGGGTATTTGCTCCTAAAAACCAATGAGGTTCAATCCTATAGAAAATGTGTGGGCAGAACTGAAAAAGCGTGTGCGAGCAAGGGCCTACAAACCTGACTCAGTTACACCAGCTCTGTCAGGAGGAATGGGCCAAAATTCACCCAACTTATTGTGGGAAGCTTGTGGAAGGCTCCCCAAAACGTTTGACCCAAGTTAAACAATTTAAAGGAAACGCTACCAAATACTAATTGAGTGTATGTAAACTTCTGACCCACTGGGAATGTGATGAAAGAAATAAAAGCTGAATGAAATCATTCTCTCTACTATTATTCTGACATTTCACATTCTTAAAATAAAGTGGTGATCCTAACTGACCTAAAACAGGGAATTTTTACTAGGATTAAATGTCAGGAATTGTGAAAAACTGAGTTTAAATGTATTTGGCTAAGGTGTATGTAAACTTCTGACTTCAACTGTATTTGTATATCAGCATGTTAGCCAATTTTGACTTTGTGGCTGTGGTATCTAGTGACAACCATGATCCGGTCCCAAATCATCCCATAGCCTCACACAGCATAATTAATCCATATAGGATAACATTAAGTTGTGTGTGTGCATATGGAATGTGTGTGTCTGTGTGTGTCTCACTCACCCATGATGAAGATGAGAGCGCCCCCGACCATGGCACGGCGTAGTTTGGTAGCGGGGATCTCATCTCTGAGTCTGACACATGGCATGGACATCAGCACCAGCCCCATGGCAGGAAAACCCATTAGACACGCACACACCATCAATGCACGACATGTCTGGATGTATGCTGGAGGGGGAGGGGAGAGGTAGAGAGAGAGAGATCACAGCGATACCCACCGGAAAATGTTTTCAAAATGTTGACTTTTATATTCATACATTGTTGAAAACACATAAATAATATCAGAGATATGCACAGTTTTCAGTAAGCCTTTATTGACTTACTTTATTTAAATCTGCAGGTGGGCTACAGATGTGGCACATCTGCACACACACACGCACGCGCACACACACTCGCTCTCTCACCTGGCAGGGTTAGGATATGGTTGAGCATGACACAGTGGTAGAGTGAGGGGGAGATGACACACTCTGCCCAGAGGCCTCTCGCGCCCAGCTCGTCCATGCGCACACAGGTGGTGACGGTGTAGTCGCAGGTGCGCACCCAGTCGTTGGTGGCGGTGGCGATGATGATGCCTACCCAGCCTGCAAAACTGGCCGCGCTCCCGCTCAGCTGCCTGCACACACGTGCCATGAAACACACTATCACAGGGATGCGCAATCAAAAATAAATCACTTTCTTTTTTTAGAAGAAAATAATTTTAAAAATCCTGGGGGAAAAACTGAACTGACCCAAAATATAGGTATTTGAAAAATATGAACCAATTAAAATGTAGAGAGAATAAATACATTAAAACCAATAGTTCCACCTGGGTCCAACAGTGCGAGGGGTGCTTGAGGAGGACTGAACTTCAGCAAAATGCGCAGATTGAGTTTTATAGTACAGGAAATGTCTCAACCCAAACTTTCAGCCAATCAGAAGAAGGTATGGGGCTGCTAACGTAAACCAGAGATGGATGGGTGCTATGATGGTAAACTGCTGTGTGTGTGTGTGTGTGGTGGGTTGAGGGGGGATCTTCATGATTTATGATGCAGTTTAAGTCTTAAAAACAAATGTCAGCAGTGTTGAAATTGCCACTGGCTCCTGATTGATTTGGCATAAACACGGGTTGATTTAGCAATAATATGGCTGTGCTGCTTCAGAATCGCTGCCATGTCTGAACTTAGACATTGTGCTCCAGAGAAGTATCAGTGACATTAATATTCTGCATAGTTATGTATTTCATATATCTTGATCATTGTTTCCACACGAGTTGTGAGAATATTGCAGCAGCAGTCTATCTACTAGCAAACCTGAATCATCAACTCCATCTGGTGGCCGAAGTTAGTAGTGAGATGGATCATTTGTGACTACAAAATATCGCAATACCAATACCCAGGCAATAAAACAATGTCCATAAATTATTTTGATTTATTACAGAGTTTGAATAGGCAGGATAAGAGAAAACATTATGAAATCTCACAAACGACATGGTTATGAGACAAATAAGACCTAACTTTTGCTCAGATCATATATAAAACTTAATAAATTCTTTAGTTAAGACATTATTTTCCACACAGTGATTTAAAAAAAATCTGTGTATCAACTGTGTAAAATCAAAACAGATTTTACAGTTTACATGTGACACCACATTATAAAATAATAACCAACCAGACAAATACATACTGTATATTACAATCCTCCATGAAAATGTTAAAGATTTACACCCAATAGACTGCATTGTAAAATATTTAAATAGACACAACAGAATATAACAAAAAAAATGTCCTCTCTCATTGATTGCTCTCAGCTGATAATCTCTTTAATTAATCTCTTGTTTTTCCGCTCTTCTTCTCTGTCCCCCCCATGCCCTCATCTATCAATCACTATTTTCCCTCTCTTTTTCAACCCCTCCCACCCCTCTCCCTTTTTCCCTCTCTCTATATTCTCCTCCCCCCACCCTCCCACCTCACCTCCGTCTCTCATCTCTCCCTCTCTATGTGTGTCGGAGTGTGTTGATGTGGGCACAGATCTTGAGCGCTGGTCCCAGTTTGATGTTCATGCTGGACACCAGGTGGTCCTCAGTGAGCAGCAGCAGGGCCTGGCCGTCTATCTCCTGAACACGGAACGCCTCCGCAACCTCTACACAACCTAAAGACAACATACACACACAGGTTATAACCTCCACACAACCTTAAAACACATGCAGAGGTTATAACCTCCCCACAACCTAAAAACAACACACACACAGGTTATAACCTCCCCACAACCTAAAAACACACACACAGGTTATAACCTCCCCACAACCTAAAAACACACACACAGGTTATAACCTCCCCACAACCTAAAAACACACACACAGGTTATAACCTGCCAACAACCTACAGCAGGGAGATGAGTGAATGTGTGTCCTTATGTATATGTGTTTTACCTGGCAGTGTGTGTATAAAGTCCCAGACTTGCTCTATACTCCACTGTGCAGGTGTGGGTTCAGTAGAGGTCACGGTGAGGTTACTAGGGGTCATCGCTGGCTCTGATGCCCTCCTTGCCATCCGTGCCGCTCGGCGCTCCAGCCTGGTCGTTATGGGAACAGCATGCCCTTCTTTCCCTTCGTAGTCATGGCGATGGGCACTCCATATTTCGCGGGGCTAAAATAGATAATGTTACAGGAGATGGAACATGTGTGAACAGCTGGGTTTGAATTATAAAGGCTTATAAATGGTTATAACATGTTATAAAGCATCAAACCTGTATCACTGTGGAGTGAGTGACCTATTTGTTAAAAGTTGCAGCAATGTCTGAGTTGTAACTGACCAGTCGCAATAGGAGGGGCTTCCCAGGAACAGACTCCACCTTGTTTATCTCAGAGCTTCGCCCCTCTGGTTGGCTGCCAGCACTCAGAGCACGCAGACGCTTAGACATCCCTACATTAAGTCTAGAGAGAGAGAGAGAGAGCGAGAGAGATGATGTGTCGTTTCTCTGAGCACTATGGTGTTACAATTTTCTCACATCTCACATCCTGTCTGAACACCAACACCTGACCACATCCTGTTTGTGAGGGTGTGTTTTTGTGTGTTTATGAATGTGTGTACTGTACACCTTTAGTAAATAGACTATGCAAGAGAGAGAATACTTCATCTGTCACTGTCTTGTTTCTTTATTCGGCTTATGGGAGTGTGACTCACCTGCGGGCACAGGAAGTGGAGCAGTATCTTTTGGAGCGGTGGAAGGAGTGGGCATGGCCTCTCTTCCCACAAGATTCACACTGTAACACCCCCTTCTGTCTCTCTCTGGGACCTAGTGAAGTTTGGATTCAGAGAGAGAGAATTGAATTGAATATTGATTCAGAACCAGGAGATTAAGGTGGCTTACCTGTCAGCGGGTCATCTGTAGCCACGCCCGCTCGTTCTGATTCACCAGAATGTTCTGGTGGCTCTGGTGTGTCCGTCAACGGTAATAACTCTGCCCCCTTTGTGTTCCCATTCTGGGAGACACCCTCCTGCCCTCCCAACAACAGAGACGAGCGGTTCACCTGCACAGGTACATACACACGCGCGCGCACACACACAGGTTATATATACTGTTGATGTATAATTATATGACACCAACTAGACACCAGCTATGTCCCGTGTAGGAAGATGTATTTTACTCTAAAATGTGTGTGTGTATGTGTTTACCGGGAACGCCTGCAGACCCTCCTGTATGACGAAGCCCTCCACCAGGTGAGTTAAGACACGCCTCCCACCCTCTGGCCACACCCTCTGTGTCCAAGGCTCGCGCTCTGATATGCTGAGGGTCTCAGGGCGGATCTGTGATAGGCTGAGGGTCTCTGAGTGGGAGGGGCTAACAGGCAGGAGAGGAGGGGGGAAGTCAGATGGAGGGGTGAGGCAGGGTGAGGCAGGGGGAGACTGAGAGGAGAGACTGGACAAGACTGGGGGAGGAAGAGGGAGGAGGAGGAGAGAGGTGGGAAGATGGGAGGAGGGGAGAGAGAGGAGGAAGAGTTCACAACACTCGTTAGATTAGTGTTTCAAAAGTTAGTTTAGAGTTCCTTAATAGGCCAAGGCTAAAGGAAATGGTGTGTGTGATAGGACAGGAGAGAGACCCTGGTACCTGAGTGGTTGTCAGACTGAGTGGACATGTTCTCACAGAGGTCCTTGTGGGGGAGGTCTGGGGGTCGCTCTATGGGACGGTCTGATGGTCTCTGGAGGTCTATGGGGGAACCTGAGGGAGGGGGTGTGTCGTTCTGAGTGGTGGGGTTATGAGGTGTGTGTGAGGGGGCATCAAGGGGTATGTGATTCTGAGTAGCCGGGTCTGCATTGGGGTGAGGGTCTATCGGACTGGCCTGGTCAATGGTAGTCCCCTCCTCCTTCTCTCCTTTCATCGCATCTTTCTGTCCCCACACCTCCTCCTCTACCTCCATCCTCTCTCTCTGCTCCTCTGCCTCCATCTTCATCCTTACCTCCCCCCTCCTCCTCTATCCCTGTCATCTCTCTCAGTCTCTCATATTGTTTAACTCTCTCCATCCATTTTTCCTCTCCTCCAGTCCCTCCTTTCTCCTCTCCTGTCAGCAGTCCCTTCTCTCCCACCCTCTCCCCTCTCTTCTCCACAATCCCCTTTTCCTCTCCTGTCACCTGTCTCTCTCCTCCCACCCTCTCTTTATCCCTCTGCCCCTCTTCAATTTCCCCCATCTTTTCTTCCTCTCCCCCCACCCTTCTCTCTCGCCTCCCTTACCCCCGGTCTACCCACTTCTCCTTTTGGCTGAATGTTTCTGGCCTGATAATGGGGGTATAGTAGGGGTGAGTTGGCTTTGTGGATGGAGGAGGTGGGAGGGGGAGAGGCGTGGTCAGAAGTCCTCTGTGGTTTGGCATCGAGCTGAGGAGTTGGGGACTCAAGAACCAGACACTTTGATTGGACAGAAGCTGGGGTGTGTGTGTTGGCTGCAGGCCATGTTTGGCTGCTGAGGCGGCTGGTGGAGCCAGCAGAGAGGGCTATAATTTGCAGCTGCCTTGATGCCGGCGGCAACCGATCAAAACAGGAAGTAGAATCCAAGGGGAGGGGCCTAGAGCCTGAGCTGAGCTGCGATTGGCCAGGGGTGGACTGTGTGGGCAGGGGTTTGAGATGACAGACTGCTGGCTGGTCCAGTACACTGTCTGCTGGATAGGGCCTGACAGGCAGCGGCAGCAGCGAATGATCGGAGGGCGGGGCTGTGTCTCGGGGGCACCACTCTGTGGCCATTTGGAGAATGAAGTCTAGGTCTCAGAGGGACAGAACGCACAGAAGTGTAGAGAGCTGGAGAGAAGTGGAAAAAGAGAGAGCGATTGAATGGTTTTATTGGACACACTATAAATCACATTCCTCCTGAACATTCTACTCATTATCACATGTTTATGACTCACTTGGAGGCCGGACTGAGAGGTGCCGGGTGGGTGGGGTCTGTCTGTCAGTTGCCACGGCACTGGGCTGGGGGCACGGGCGGAGAGGGGGGAAGAGGGGTGTAAGGGGGCGAGAGATGGGAGAGAGGGAGGAGGAGGAGGAAGAGGGAGGTTTGAGACGTAAAGAAGGGGGGATTGTGAGAGTGCCGGGAGCAGAGGGGAGCAGGGTTAGACTCTGGAGCTAAAGGGGAGGGAGGGAAGGAGAGAGGGTGAGGAGGAAAAGAAAGACAGAGAGAGTGGGGGTTGAGAGGGAGAGGGAGTGTAGTTAAACTTGTGAGACAATCACAATCTACAGTAGAGTGGTCTCTCACACACCTAACACACACCTGCTGAACTGCTCACCTGAGCGGAGGCAGGGTGAGAGGAAGAGGAAGAAGAGGAAGGGACAGGCCGTACTGTAGAGGTGAAAATCAGCTAAGAATGAGAGAGATACAGACAGAGAGAGAGAGAGAGAGAGAGAGAGAGAGAGAGAGAGAGAGAGAAGAGGAGAGAGAGAAGAGAGAGAGAGAGAGAAGAGAGAAGAGAGAGAGAGAGAGAGAGAGAGAGAGAGAAGAGAAGAGAGAGGAGAAGAAGAGAGAGAAGAAGAGAGAGAGAGAAAAAATGTTGTCTCAAGAAAGCTTCAGGAGTTTGAAGTTGGTAGAAATAGGGCTGAGAGAAGTTTTGGTGTGTGTGTTGTTACAATCTGGGGCCCTGTGCAGCGGTCTCGGCGGAACAGTGGACTGCAAGGCTGGAACAGGACTTTCAGACCCAGGAGCAAAGGTGCTGGTGATAACCTCGGGCTCGTGACAGGCGAGATGGCTCTGACTGCTGCTGATACCAACATGCTTGGCTACCGGGGGGCGTACCCAGGGGCGAGAGGGACGGAAAGAGAGAGAGTAGTTTTTGGGGGGTATTTTGAATACTGTACTCTAGGTTAAAGGAATGTAAACCAATTGATCCAGGACAGGACGTGGTTGCCTGTGTAGTCAATTGCTGTGTGCCTATGTGAGTATGTGAGTGTGTGTGTGGCTGGTTACATAGTGTGCTGCTTTTTTATTTATTTTCTATGTGGTCAGTTACCTGTCTGCTGGCTGGGGTATGGAAAGGCGTGATTGGTGGAGAGGTGGGCGTGGTGGCTGGCCTTGCATTGCCATTGGTCAGGGAGAAGGAAGTACCAGGAGCAAAGGACATTTTGCCATGGGTTGCAGAGGGGGGCAGAGAAGGGATGGCAGATACAGTGGGGGAGGTAGGGGAGGGAGAGGGGGTGAGCAGAGGGGGAGTAGGGGTGAGGGTAGGAGGAGTGAGGGGGAGGGGGGCAGGTTTGTGAGTGAGTTTAGTAGGGGAGGGAAACGAGGAATGCTTGAGTGTAGGTAGAGAGGGTGTGAGTATAGGGGGAGTAGGTTTGGGGGTGAGCATTTTAGAGGTGAGGGGGTTGGGATTAAGTGAGGGGGAAGTAGGTGTAAATGTTGGGGGGGGGTTGAGTACCGTAGGGGTGAGGGTGGGGAGGGTTTTACGGGTGATTGTAGGGGGAGATGAGGGGGTGGGGGTCAGTTTAGGGGGATTGCGTGTGGGTGTAGAGGAGGAAAAGGGTGTGAAAGTAGGGGTGAGGGTGCGCGTACTAGTAGAGGGAGTGGGGGCGGGGGTGAGTTTAGGAGGGCAGGAGGAATTAAGCTGAGGGGGAGTAGAGATGAGTGTTGTAGGGGTGTGAGCAGCTGTAGACCTATTGGGGGACAGGGGGCTGGGGCTCCTGGTAAGTCCCTCTCTGGTCTTCGTTCTCTCTCCCCCTGTCTCTGCTCTGCTCTCAGTGCATGTCTCCAAGGCAGGGTCTGTCTCCATCCCTCTAGGTTTCAGCACGCTGCAGGAGGACACACACACAGAGTATCAGACCGCTGTCTCTGTTTTACATTGTAGTTAATGATTACAGCTGCGGCTACAGAACCCCCCACTGTTAGTCAAATCAGGAACCGTTTCCAAAATCTTTCCACAGACCGTTAAACTTTAGACTTATATGCACTTAAAGTTGTTATACCAAAGTAATGGTAAACAAATGGGCCTATTTTTATAGGCCCACTCCCTCATCCTAAGACTTAATTTATAATGGCGATATATGGGAACATCGCATCAGCAGGTGCCACCCACGTGCGGCAGATGCAAACATCTGGGTCTAGACTTGAGAGTGCTTCTCGAGCTGCTGGAGACTATTGTGCCTTGCCTTTAATCATGTTTATGATGATGATGCATAGCCTATTTTGTCAACAAATATCCTGCCAAGAAAATTCCAAACTATTAAAAATGTGGCTGTGATGAAATGTTCTATCCAAAACCACCAAGAGTAGCCTTCATACCTAGGCCTACCCCAAACCAGCTGTGACGCATGCAGCCGAGCCTATGCTCTCTATCCATCAGCGAAGAGAAAACGCATGTTAGTTTATCTATAGGCTACTCCTTCTCTCACAGAAGGAAGGCTGATCTGCGTTTCAGGACAGCATTGCAAATGAGTCAGTTGGTTAAAAGGGGCGTGCTTAAGACACCTTGCGCGCTCCACTTCCTGGTATGAGAGAGCGCAGAAAGTGTATTGAACAGCAGCGCGTCATAACATCAGCCCCGATAAATTATCTGTATGCCTTTGCCTCACTTGTGATAAACCTGCTAATGAAAGTATAGTATCCTAGTCAGACGCGGGTGTTTTAACGAGTGTGAAACATATGCTACGAATATTTCATAGAAGCTTATGTGAGTTTATGATTAATAGAAATAACCCCAGGATTTATCCCCCTCCCCACCCCCGCCCGTGCTCCCTTCACCACCCCCATCCCTTCATACCTGCAAGAGGTCTGTGTGTCGGCAGACCGCTCAGGGCGACCAGAGAGACCGCTGCGATGGGCCAGTCAGTCCGCCAGTTGGGAGGAATGGAGAGAGAGCAACCTACTGTAGCGTAGAACTGTGACGCTCAGACAGAGAGCAGAGAGAGAGAGAGAGAGAGGCGAGACAGCACAGCACCACGCACAGTGCAGGAGGACCGCACACAAATTAAATATGTGTGTTCCCCCGCCCAATTACCTGCCCCCCTTCCCCCAAATAATCTCCTTTGCCGCGTTCAAAACAACTGGGCAATCGGAAAAATACGAGGTCACATCATGACGTCAGTGATCTTCAGGTCGGAAAGTCGGAGCTCTAGAAAGAGGCCCGAGTTCCCGAGTTTAATTTCCGAGTTGGATGACCGTTCAAATCGATTTTCCCCAATTGTTTTGAACGCACTGAAGTCGAAAGTCGGAGATTTCCGAGTTCTACAGCAGGGTTGGAATTAAAGCCTGTACACCCAGGCGCTCTCCATGAGAGTTGGCCACCCATGTCCTATTATATGACTCCTATACCTCAATATACTCCAGCCCTATATGAATAGTTATTTGCAGGTGTAGGCCTACAGCTGGTGGCTGGGAATAGCTCAGTCTTAAACTCCAAGCCATCTGGAACCCGTTGTATAATCCTAGCTACCATCCACAGGCACGCAGGTGTTATGTCAAATTTTGTTCCCTCACCAGATTATGTTACCCCTTTATAGTAGGATATGCAAAAAACGAATTTCCAATTCATACATGCGTATTAATACACACTTGTACATGTGTGAAATAGGACAAATAGAAGCACCCACCAAATTATATATTATTATTAATGTTATTATTATTATTATTATTATTATTATGACATTCTACAAATAGACAATTGTCATTTGAATTTCGGAGTAGTGTAGCTAAAAGCCTATAAAACTTGATGATGACTTATTGGCATGTAGCCAAGGCAGCCTATAGTGGGCGCTAGATCTGCACTATAGTCTTGGATTTATGTGCACTCCCTATAATACACTCGTGTCCCCCGTGGACCGGCTCGTACATAAATGCTGCAAAGGCATCATTTTCCTCCTTAACTAACTTTTTTGGCGAGCCGCCGGGTTCTTTTTTTGTTGAGAAATATGTGTACTGTCTAATAAAACAAAAATGTTCACACCATCTTCAGGTTTTTGGACAACTTTGAATTTTGGATGTTGCACAAGGCGTTCAGCCAAGGGTGTGGAACTTCCTAAATTATCTGAAAATCCTAAAATGGTGGTGGAAAATTGTGATTAAGAATACACGTTTTTTTTCACCAGTGGCTGACCATTAAAGCTCAACCTGGTCTCAGAGCATTTCGTATTATTCTGTATGTAAAGCAGAGACACTTCATTTAGTGTGATATCTTACGTTTTGTATGTATTAATTTGTGGATGTCCATCATCCATTTCCTATGAACAATATACTGTTGGCCACCTAGCTAACGTTCGTTTTGTTTGCTTGATTGAGGGTTCTGTGATTGGCTGTGCAGAGGCAGAGGAGGAGCTGGCGGCTCTGGAGGATCTGAGGCTGAGAAGAGCCATACCTACGTTTTCATTGACCCCAGCTGTGTTCGTGAGAGACACACACACACACACATTACATTTTAGTCATTTAGCAGACGCTCTTATCCAGAGCGACTTACAGGAGCAATTAGGGTTAAGTGCCTTGCTCAAGGGCACATTTACGTCATTTAGCAGACGCTCTTAACCAGAGCGACCTACAAATTGGTGCATTCACCCTATAGCCAGTGGGATAACCACTTTATTTTTTATTTATTTTTTGGGGGGGGGGGGGTAGAAGGATTACTTTATCCTATCCCAGGTATTCCTTAAAGAGGTGGGGTTTCAAATGTCTCCGGAAGGTGGTGAGTGACTCCGCTGTCCTGGCGTCGTGAGGGAGCTTGTTCCACCATTGGGGTGCCAGAGCAGCGAACAGTTTTGACTGACACACTCACTCACTCACACATACACAATAACAAACAAACACCCACACACCACACCTGGGTTCAAATATATGTGTATTTGCTTATTTGTTATTTACATTTTTACTTTCTGTGAATTTTCAAATAATGTGGGCAAAATCAACTACTTATTTTGGAAGTATTTGAAAGTATTTTCAAAGAACTTCTATAAATATCCTACTATTTGAAAATATTTTCTAATACTTATTTCCAAATACCTTGGTTCAAATGCATGGGAGTATTTGAATTTGAAAATACTCTGTGTATTTTAGTATTTCCAAATACAGTCCAATATTCAACTAATTTTTTGTTTGTTTTTGTTTTTGTTTTTTTATATCTGAATACTTACTTACTTAATGTATGTGAAAATAATTGAAATAGTATTTGAACCCAGGTCTGTGGGAGTAGTATGACAAGCTCCAACATGCTTCACAGCAACCTTCATGCTCTTCCTCGGTGGAGCACTGTCTGGAGACAGTACTTTGTCAGTCAGTAGATTTATCTGCTGTAGTTCTGTTTATAGCCACAAGGGCGCACCATGGTACAACAATTTGTTATAGTTTACATGAGACGGGTGGATTTCATAAAACCGTGTGTGTGTGTGTGTGTGTGTGTGTGTGTGTGTGTGTGTGTGTGTGTGTTGTGTGTGTGTTTAGGTGGTGTCTGTGTCTGGAGGAGGTGAGACTTAAGCAACAGCAGGGGCTGCAGGCCAGGAGGAGGCAGAGACAGGTGACACACACACACACACACACACACACACACACACACACACACACACACACACACCATCATATCTGCTGTAGTGGGAGATGTTGCGGGGAGTGTTTGAATTGGATGTAGACAGTGACATACTTGGTCATTCATATATTGTTTCAGATGAAGAAGTATATGTTGGAGACAACACCAGTTGTGCTGGGATGAAGACTGAGACACAGAGAGCTGATGCTATCATTAATGTGCAGACTTATATTGTGTTCATGTGGATGATGGTTATTGCCAGCATTGGGATCACACATTGTCTACGATGTCTCAGTGTCACTCTGCATTATTATTTACGTGATATCTCAATTTTGGGTCGTATTCTTTTGTCAAAGACTGATGGTTTATCTAGAATCATTTACCCAAGTCAGTCCCTTTTTCTTTATTCTAATAACATAAAAAAAGTATGTTCTGTTATATTTTGATATATTTTGAGGAATAAAACGCATTATATTCTGAAATCTCAATTAGTGTAAGACTATGATCATGGAGGTTTACAGGCTATTGATTTTGAGTCGTTGGTGGGTATTTTAGGATTTAATGGTTGAAATGATGTCTGTCTAATCCTACCTCTATGTGGTATCATATCCCTAACTGTCTGTTTAATACACTTGGTGGACTTGAATTCCCAATGAAATGTGATTTTGACCCTCCAAAATTACCTGTAAAATTGTCTAAGTTTCACCAGCAAATGTTATTTCTCTGTAAAATTATATTAAAACAGTGGTTTGGAATAATAGAGCTATTAAAATGACTAGGAAATCCATTTTCAAAGCCCTTTGGTTTGACAAGGGTATTAATTTTGTATGTGATTCGTTAGACAACACTGGGGAGTTTCTGCCGTTTGATGAGTTCATTGGTACATTTCAGGTTAATATTGATCAGAAATAATATATTAAGGTTTGCGAAGCAATTCCACTTCCCTTACTTGGACTTATTGAGAACACTTTGTTATATTATGAGGTTGTTCCCACTTTTCCAAGTTTACCAATTAATGACTTGAACCTTTTGCATAAAAAATTAAACCATAAGTGGATAGGATTGGCAGTTAATGAAGTATTTTTTTGTGATTATAATTCAATATTTTGCTATGGAAGTGACCAACCCATGCTGTGGTCAAAAGCGACTACCTTTTATCTTAATTGTCCAGTTATCCCAAAAGTTAAAGAACCTCATTTAAAAATATTTTCTTCTATCTACCCTGTTAATGATTTCTTGCACAAAAAGTTCAATTTTGACAAAACGCCTTGTGTTTTTTGCTCATCTGATTCAGAATCTATAGAGCATTTATTTTTTTCATACCTCCATTCTAGTAAACTACGGATTGAAATTCATTAATGGTTGTGTATAAAATCTCTAAAATGACATATGTTTACCTTTGATGATGTTAAATGGCATTATGCTTGTCCTTGTAATTCCGATCATAACTATTTTATTAACATTATTATTCTCACGCTGCATTATTATTAACATGATATCTCAATTTTGGGTCATATTCCTTTGTCCAAGACCAATGGTTTATCTAGAATCATTTACCCAAGCCAGTCCCTTTTTCTTTCTTCTAATAATAATATTTTTTCATTGAACTGTTACAATTTTATAAATCCCTCAAACTTGTGAAACTTAAAAAGTTGCCTGGTGTTTTATTATTTTCATTTTTTAAATTGTATACACAGGAATGTCCCTGTATTGATGTGTAATATTGATATCATTGTTGCAATAAAAAGTTTAAAAAACCTAAATAAAATATATTTTTTACTGTATTATTTCATATTTTTTATTTACTCTATGGTAGTTTATTTAGAGGTCAGAAACACAGAGCAATCTGCCGATTGGTACTTAGCACAGTAGGAGGCCGTTCCTTCTCTTTCTAGAACAAAATACATACATGCTGTGTATGAACCTGGTACTGACAAACCTGCCTTTTCTACTTGTAGAATCACAATGCTTGGCAGTGGCAGACAAATTGTCTATGAACCAATCAGAGAGCACAAACCTCCACGTGGGGGAGCCACAGGAGTGACAAGAAAAAGGGGGAAAAAGGGCACTTTTTCCTGTATTTAATCCATCCCCTTTTCATCAGAATTGTTCCAACTAAAACAATAAAGCTGCATGATAAATATTTTTTATAGAGCAAGTCTTTATATCTAGCTAAGAAGTTTTGTGCTTGAAGAAGGATTTTTTTGTTAGGTTTGATAATGTGCACTAGCTCATTAGTTAGCTAGCTGACATTAATGTTTACATATCTTGCACTACTCATCTCATATGTATATACTGCATTCTATTCTATAATATTCTTCTGTATCTTAGTCCATGCCGCTCTGTCATTGCTTGTCCATATATGTATATATTCTTAAATCCCATTCCTTACTTTTTTGTGTGTATTGGGTATATGTTGTATAATTGTTAGATATTACTGCAATGTCGGAGCTAGAAGCACAAGCATTTCGCTACACCCGCTATAACATCTGCTAAACACGTGTATGTGACAAATACAATTTGATTTGATAACTGAGCAAGGCATTCACACACACTTCTTATGAAACGAATGGGGTGATAAATGCCTTATCAAGCTAGCTATTTAGCAAGATGCTGAAGACAATTTAATTCACTCTCCATTATTCCATACTGCCAGTGCGCTCGCTAGTTAATGTTAGCTTAACGTTTAGCATTGCCATTTGCCAGTAGCACAACATAGCTAGATAGCTTCTCCACTGGCTCTCGGCAGCTTACATGCAGCTGCTTCATTCAAAAACAAATCCATTGTGATTAAATGATCATGTTGCTTGCTAGTTAACTGTAAGCTATAAAAACAAAGAGAGTCGCACACTCCATATGTATTGTTTTTATAGCTTATAGTTTATTCGCCGTTAGTCAGCACATCTACACTAAATAATTTCTAGCCTACGTATTGTTTGACTTTGGAGTTGTTACACATTCTTTATTTCAACACAAGAAAACAGAATTCAGCAGTAAAAAAAACATGTAGAAAAGGGATGAAGAGTGGTGCACCGAGGGGGTTGGGGTTTCTTGTTTCACAGTCTTCTCCCAGGAGAAGAGATCGGATGTGAAATGGAGTGACAAAGGAGAGGTGGAACCGTGGAAGAGGATTGGACGAGGGATGGAAAGAGAGGGGGATCAGTGAAGAAACCCTTTATGCCTAGGTACATTCACCTGCAATACAGAGGGAGAAAAGAGTGAGCAGATGATTTCTACTGAAGCACACACGATTGTTGTAATATTGTACATACAGTAAGTATATCTGTGTGATCTTGCATATGTATGTGTGTGTAATGTCGTACCGTTCTTGGGCAGGATAGCGATGTTGTCAGAGCTGATTCCTGTATCCAGAGAGAACCGCATGAACTTCTGCTGCAGCGCTACACTCACCTCTGGAGTGCGACCTGCAACCACAACACCACCAGGTTAACACAACACCCCCAGGTTAACACAACACCACCAGGTTAACACAACACCACCAGGTTAACACAACACCCCCAGGTTAACACAACACCCCCAGGTTAACACAACACCACCAGGTTAACACAACACCCCCAGGTTAACACAACACCCCCAGGTTAACACAACACCACCAGGTTAACACAACACCCCCAGGTTAACACAACACCACCAGGTTAACACAACACCACCAGGTTAACACAACATGACCAGGTTAACGGAATGCGACTGTACATGACCAGGCTAAAAACAGAGACCAAAGTACAACTATGATTATTTTCACACACAAAACATGAAAATCTTAAAAAGCTTGAATTAATTTCAGAAATACAGACAGCCAGACAGACTTACTGTAGAGCTTGTTGAGCACCTCAGGTACTCCGTCTTTGGTCTTGATGGTGTGGATCAGAGCAAAGTCATCATACTGGACAGCCACCACACGCATGTCATTTTCATTGTTCCAACCTGAGAGAGTGAGAAAGAGAGGAGGGGAGGAACGTTAGGGAGGTGAACTTATGTTGACTGTGTGTGTGTGCGCATACTCACTCTGGCTGGTGAAGGTGAAGCGGCCTGGGATGTCAGTCTTCTTGGCTAGATGTGTCATCCTCCAGCAAGAACCATCAGCGCTGAGAGAGAAAGAGCAGAGTCAGTATGAGTTCTATGGACACAAACACACGCCCACACACACATGCACATAATGTGTTCTCACACACACTCACTTCAGGTTGGTGTAGGTGAGGTCCAGGTCTCCTCCGGCGGTTGGCAGCATCATGGAAGTGCCCATCTTCATGCCAGCCTTATGGTTCACAAACCACTGGGCGTTGGTGGCAAAGCCCACAATCCACCACTTACCAGCCATCTGGGGAGAGAGAATGATATAGTTAGAAACAGAATAAGAATGACATATAATTCATTCTCACAATTGAAATTGATTCAATAGTCATTGCAGATTATACACTGTGTCCTCTCTCTCTACTCTGACCTCTGACCCCATTACACCTCAGAATCTCTTGTACAGCCCCTTTCTCTCAGCTTTTTGTCTGTGCTTTCTCTATGTCATTTGTTCTCTCAGTATGTTTCCTTCTCTCGCCCTCTTTCTCTCTCTCTTACCTTCTCCAGGTTGAAGTCTTTCTGGGGCATGACGTCAACGCAGGCGACCAGCGCAGCGCACAGCAGAACTCCCATCATCCTCAGCATCATGGCTACAGATTGGTGTGTGACAGCTCGACTCTCCAGGGTGTGTGTGAGGAGAGAGAGTGAATGTCTTTATATCCTCCAACTTGTACGGCCCCTCCCCCTTCTCTACTCCTCCCCTCTCCTAACCCCTTGGCCCCATTAGTTCGTCCCATCCCTCTCCATCCCCCAAAGATATGTAAATGTCACTCTTACACAACTGCACATGGGGGGGGGGGGGGGGGGGGGGGTCTACACTGAAAGCAGAATGATTTGTCCCTCTCCTTCGCTCTCCTCTCCTCCCCCACAATGATAGTGCTAATCTATTCAGACAACTCGGATTCCTGATTACTACAACCTCCACCATGAAATACATATGTAAGCATGAAGACACACACGTGTACATACACACATGCATGCACTGACACATAATGCACAGTGTCCTCAGAATGAGCCAGTAAAGCAGTCCTCATGACCCCCGAGGGCTGCACGCCTGCAACATGTGAGTATTAAGAGTAAGTAAATGTAAGTGTGCAGGAAAGAACATTGTTCACAGAGGTCTCAGGTCATGTTGGGGTTTGGGGTGAATTCCTCCTAAAGGATACATACAGTTGAGGTCTGAAAGATACATAACTTTGAGGGATTCATAATGGCCCTGAACTCTCTTTGTTCTGAAGGAGGCAGGCAGAGTCTTGTAGGCAGGGAGTCGGTTACATAACACATGCGCACACACAGCCACAGGGATGTTTAGGGTGGGGGCTAGGGTTTGCAGACCCCCGTTTTGTAACTAAACTCCCTGATCTCGCCAGGCTACATCTGGGACTCATTAGCATGCGAGAGTAGACATATCCAGAGATGAGATTCAGTAGTGAGTACAAAAAAACACACATAAGCAATTCAATCATTTTATTATGCCATATGTTGCTGAGCAGTTGGAACATGGGCTCTTGGAATCTTCCTCAACATATTGGCACGCAGTCTGGGAAGGAAAAATGAAACAAGCTCAGAAGTAACACGGAAACATAAACTCAAACTATACGAAGTGAATTAAGTTAGACAAAAATAAGCATGTAAGTTCATTATGCAAATATGTTTCTATGCTATAGATTTGCAGACGCTTTTTCAAAATGAGGTAACAGTTAGGTAAACTTGTTTATGCAATTTATCTAACTGACCGTCGTGCAAGTACATTTCCACATGCCCTGCGAAGGAGTAAACGTGATGTTTTTTTTTTAGCAAAGTTAAAGGGAGTGGATGCCTTTTCCACCAATCTGCATCTGTCCGAATCCCAAATCACACCCTTCCCCTTGCCTCTCACCATTTGCACCGAGTGTCCCAAAGCTGAGGGAGTGAAAATCATCGAGGGTGTAGGGGCTAACTAGGCTTCAGAGCAAAGTGCTATCCCTTTTCAAAGGTCCAGTGCAGTCAAAAACGTGATTTTCCTGTGTTTTTAATACAGTACCAGTCAAAAGTTTGGACACACCTACTCATACAAGGGGTTTTCTTTAGTTTTACATTGTAGAATAATAGTGAAGACATCAAAACTATGACATAACACACATGGAATCATGGGTAGCTCAGTTGGTAGAGCATGGCGCTTGCAACGCCAGGGTTGTGGGTTTGATTCCCATGGGGGGCCAGTATGAGAAAAAAAAATTATGCACTCACTAACTGTAAGTCGCTCTGGATAAGAGCATCTGCTAAATGACTAAAATGTAAATGTAACCAAAAAAGTGTTAATCAAATGTATTTGAGATTTTTCAAATAGCCACCCTTTGCCTTGATGACAGCTTTGCACACTCTAGGCATTCTCTCAACCAGCTTCATGAGGTCGTCACCTGGAATCCATTTCAATTAACAGGTGTGCCTTCAAAGTTAATTTGTTGAATTTCTTTCCTTCTTAATGCATTTGAGCCAATCAGTTGTGTTGTGACAAGGTAGGGGGGTATACAGAAGATAGCCCTATTTGGTAAAAGACCAAGTCCATATTATGGCAAGAACAGCTCAAATAAGCAAAGAGAAATGACAGTCCATCATTACTTTAAGACATGAAGGTCAGTCAATACGGAACATTTCAAGAACTTTGAAAGTTGCTTCAAGTGGTGTTGCAAAAACCATCAAGCGCTATGATGAAACTAGCTCTCATGAGGACCACCACAGGAATGGAAGACCCAGAGTTACCTCTGCTGCAGAGGATAAGTTCATTAGAGTTACCAGCCTAAGAAATTGCAGCCCAAATAATGGTGTGGGGGTGCTTTGCTGGTGACACTTTCTGTGATTTATTTAGAATTCAAGGCATACTTAACCAGCATGGCTACCACAGCATTCTGCAGTGGTACGCCATCCCATCTGGTTTGGGCTTAGTGGGACTATCATTTGTTTTTCAACAGGATAATGACCCAACACACCTCCAGGCTGTGTAAGGGCTATTTTACCAAGAAGGAGAATGATGGAGTGCTGCATCAGATGACCTGGCCTCCACAATCCCCCGACCTCAACCCAATTGAGATGGTTTGGGATGAGTCGGACCGCAGAGTGAAGGAAAAGCAGCCAACAAGTGCTCAGCATATGTGGGAACTCCTTCAAGACTGTTGGAAAAGCATTCCAGGTGAAGCTGGTTGAGAGAATGCCAAGAGTGTGCAAAGCTGTCATCAAGGCAAAGGGTGGCTATTTGAAGAATCTCAAATATAAAATGTATTTTGATTTGTTTAACACTTTTTTGTTACTAAATGATTCCATATGTGTTATTTCATAGTTTTGATGCCTTCACTATTATTCTACAATGTAAAGAATAGTAAAAATAAAGAAAGACCCTTGAATGAGTAGGTGTGTCCAAAATTTTTGACTGGTATTGTATATATATTTCCACACTATGTTGTAACAATACTGTGAAATTCGGATAATGCCCTTTTAGTACAAGAGCAGTTTGAAAAGACCGCCTGAAATTTCAGCCAGTTTTGGTGGAATGGAGTTTTGGTCTGCCTAGTGACATCACCATTAGTTAATAGACCAATAAGAAAGAGTTCCAAACCTCTCTTCCAATAACAGCTAGTTTTCAGTTCTCCCCTTCCCGTTCAAATAAGAAAGAGTTCCAAACCTCTCTTCCAATAACAGCTAGTTTTCAGTTCTTCCCGCTCAGACCACTCCCAGACAGTCCTAGCAACATTCTTGCTTGAGAAATTGCTCTTAGCTAAGAATATATTTTTGTTAATTTTTTACAATTTTAATTGAAAACAATCACAGTAAGGTACTTAATTGTTAACAAAAATGATTTGATATTGAGATAAAAACGGTTGCATTGGACCTTTAATACAGAAGAATGGAGCTGCACGCCTAATTATATGCCAAGTGCATTTGTCTATGTCTGATTTCGAGACATGACACATGTAACAGATGCAATAAAACCCAAATAAATTGTTTAACTTTACTGGTGTTTATATCTTGTAATGCGACTGGGGGGATTCGTTCATTTGAATGTCATGCTTGATTTATTATTTAAACATCATTGCATCATTCAAGTCACAAGTGTGTCCCGAAGTTGATGGCTTTATTGATCCCTTTGCCACTCTCTTGAATTCACCCTCGGAGTTTCATCAGCAACACGTGACAACCGAGGGCCGTCCGAGCTAGTTGGTAGGGGCGAGTGGGAGGTTTGGGATCCTTGTCTCTCTACAACAGACGAGGCTCCGCTCCGCTTCCCAATGAAACCCCAGAACATCCATCCTCAAGTCAGCATTAGCATTCTCAACCTACTCTAGAAGAAGCCGTCTACATTTACATTGATGTAGCCTATATTTGGAAGAATCCCTTATTTTGCCATTTTAGGTCCACGATGCCCCACATAAATGGTTGAACAATTGTTTGAAATGGTATACTCACTGATCACGTGGTCCTTGTCCACAGACTGGCAGTGACCTGTACAGATTGGAAACATTTCATTTTAAGTATGTATGCTGGCTGTGGTAGAGATGTAGCTAGAGGTAGTTATGGCAGGCTGTGTTTGTGAGTTATGATAGAGAAGTTCCTATAGAGAAGTTCCTACTGTAGTTGGGGAAGGCGAACACATAGGCCAATCCCAGACCCTTTTTCTCAGCCAGGTCCTCAAACTTATCCAAGATGGCTTCTGAAAGGGTATCCTTGGATCTGCCTGTAGAGAAAACACAACAGCCTCCTTGAAATATTCTCAGTAACTTCAACATTAATGTTTCTGTAATGGTTTACTGGATGTGGCTTGGTGAACCATATCTCCCAGAAGTAATACCTAGGCTTTAGCTCCGCTGGCTAACAATGTATTGTCGTGGTCAGTATGAAAAATGTATGCACTCACTAACAGTAAGTCGCTCTGGATACGAGCGTCTGCTAAATGACTAAAATGTAAATGTAAATGTCAGAAGACCTGGCTTCAAACCGATATATTGTCCAATACTGTTGGCTTGCAGCATGGGCCTCCTGTAGCTCAGTTGGTAGAGCATGGCGCTTGCAATGCCAGGATTGTGGGTTCGATTCCCACGGGGGGCCAGTATGAAAAATGTATGCACTCAGTAACTGTAAGTCGCTCTGGATAAGAGCGTCTGCTAAATGACTAAAATGTTAAATGTTGTTAGTACAGGGTATCAATCAGGTTGGTAGCATAGAAGCTGCAGACTGACCGTAGAGCTTCATGGTGAGCTGTCCCTGTTTCTGGTAGTAAAACACAGCGTAGGAGCTATAGTCTGTCTCCCCAATCACTATCTCAGTGTTCAGCAATGATCTGCTACCTTCATGGAAAACAACAACAGTTCATATTATACAGTAATATCAATAACTTTGGCACAAGATCAAATTTGCACCTCATTCTCAACTGAAGTAATTTGAATATGAACATGAACTCTCCTCTGCTGTTCCTTTGAAACACACATAGTAAATCTATCACAGTAATTGTTCCCAGACTATAAGGTGTGATTTGCATACTTTGAATGAAAAGCCAATCAGTTTAGAGCAGTGGAATGTTGGGGAGCCTAGGGGTTCCAGCTGCCATTTTAAAGAGACAAAGCAGAGCTATCAGAGATATAGCTGGAGGAGACGGCCGGGTGAAGGAGGAGACGGCCGAGTGGAGAGGAGAGGAGTGTCTATAGCCAGTTAACAGGGCTGTAAGGCATGTCTCTGTGTGTGATAGGACTCTTACCATTGAGTAGAAGGCGTCCTGGGGTGGGGGTGATGGTGTACGCCTGCAAGATCTCCCAACACTGGTGGTTACTGGGGGGGTGGGGGGTGCAGGGGAGGGAGAGGACAAAAAAATTAAAAAATTACCTCAGCTGATCTGTCTATCTACTCAGGTAGCTTTAACATTGCATAAGACTTTGTGTGCGTGTGTGTTTGTGGGTATGTGTGTGTGTGGGGGGGAGGGGGGAGGGGGGAGTGTTTGCGCGTTTGTGTCTGTGTGCATGCAAGCATGCGTGAGAGAACTTGCAACCATTTTGCAACTTGCACAGCCAACTATTTCCTCTGGTTCAGCCAGATTAATTATATAACAAGTCAAAACAGGCCTAAAACATTCAGTTCCCTAGTACGGGAACAATGTCTATAGAGCCAAGACTGTCTTATTCAGGTGAAAAGTGTTGTGGAGTGGTATAATTTCCTCTGTTTACTGACACTTTGAGTAAGGTTGACTTGACCTAAGAGACAGAGAGAAAAAGAGAGAGAGATAGCTGATACAGAGAGAATGTGAAGAGATAGAGGTAGATAGCGAGAGAGAGAGAGTGCTCTCTGGTGGTAGACATAGGTACTCTCAGAAAGAGAGGAGTTGGAGTGAAAGGAAGGAAGAGAGTGATAGAGGGTGCAAAGAGAGACAGATAGAGAACGGGAGAGAAACAAACAAAGAGAGAAAGAGAGAAAGAGAGTGAGAGAAGCAGAGAGAGATAGTTGCAGAGAGAGAGAAAGATAGAGAAACTTGCAGAATTCTGCAAAAATATACTTTGTGTACAAGCAGAGCAGAATTAGGACCATACCCGCTAGTTATCAAAATCCAGAAAATAGTTATCAAATTCTGCAACCACCTAAAAGGAAGCGATGCCCACACATTCCACCACAAAGCCATCACCTAAAGAGAGATGAACCTAGAGAAGAGTGCCCTCAGCCAGCTGGTTCTGGGGCTCTGTTCAAAAACAGACCCCACAGAGCCCCAGGACAGCAACACAATTAGACCAAACCAAAGAATGAGAAAGCAAAAAGCTAACAATTTGACACACTGGAAAGAATCAACCAAAAACAGAGCAAGTTGGAATGCTATCTGGCCTTTAACAGAGAGTACACAGTGGCAGATTACCTGACCACTGTGACTGACCCAAAATTAAGAAAATCCTTGACTATGTACAAACTTAGTGAGAATAGCCTTGTTATTGAGAGAGGTCGCCATAGGCAACTCTGGCTCTCAACAGAAGACAGGATATGTGCCCACTGTCCACAAAATGAGGTGGAAACCAAGCAGCACTTCCTAACCTCCTGCCAAATGTATGACCACATCAGAGACACATATTTCCCACAGATCACACAGACCCACAAAGAATTAGAAAACAAATCAAATGTTGATAAACTCCCATAGCTGTTAGGCGAAATACCGCAATGTGCAATCGCAGCAGCAAGATTTGTGGCCCGTTGCCATGAGAGAAGGGCAACCAGTGGAGCACAAACAACATTGTAAATACCCCCAATTTTTATCTGTTTATTTATCTTCTCCCACTATTCGTACTACAACTATTTTCACATTGCTAAAACACTTTACATAGCTGATAATATAACACTTGAAATGTCTTTATCTTTTTAAAACCTTTTTGAGTGCAATGTTTACTGTTCATTTCTAATAGTTTTTTGTTGATGTTGTTGAATGTGTTTCTTCTCACTTTTATTTATTGTTTATTTCACTTGCTTTGGCAATGTAAACATATGTTTCCCATGCCAATAAAGCCCCATTGAAATGAATTGAAACAGAGAGAGAAAGAGAGAGTGAGAGAGGGAGAGAGAGAGATAGAGAGAGAGAGAGAGAGAGAGAGAGAGAGAGAGAGAGAGAGAGGAGTGTAACTCACAGGCGTGTGGTAGTGCTAACAGAGAGAGCGGTGTTTGGGGAGGAGGGGGGCATCAGGGTCATCACCGTAGCCTCCACCTTCAGACCGTTCTTCATCAGGAAGTTACACTTAGATGCTGCGTTGACCAGGTACCACGTCCCTCCCATCTACAACACACACACACACATACATGATACAGCAGGGATTTAACATTGACAACGTCAAGGCACGTCCGCCACTGGCTGTGTTTGTGGTGTAGTTGTGACATCATGGTAAACGATGTGTGTTTACACACACACACACACACACACACACACACACACACACACACACACTCCTGTACCTACCTGTTGTATGTCAATGTTCTGCGGTGGGGGGGTGTCGTCAATGGGGTTCACCTTGGGCTTCTTGTGGGGTCTCCTCTGGGGTCGTGGTCGGCTTACTGCTCCCCCAACCGCCTCCGCCGACCCCCACAGACACACACACACCACCATCACCATGGTAACACACAGCCACACCCTGGTCATCCTAGCACTGTCCCCAAAACACTCCCAACACTTCTCTCTGCTTCTTCCTTCTGCTGTGTCTGTCCCACAAGGTTGTTATCACGATGCTGGTGTAATCTGATTGGTTCTGCCTGGATCCCTGTTAAATGATTATGTCTAGTGTAATACCAGAACTGATGTCCACCGACAGCCACTCTGGAAGAAAACGACCCACTGCTCTCTCAATCTATCTTTCCCTCTGTCTTGTGTCCGACCATCACTCTCTCTGTGCTGCTTCTTTCTGGACAGATGTTGACACACACACACACACAGAGGGGGTGATGACCTCTTGTTGAGTCAATCATTAACGGCCCTTTACTGGCAGTGGGCTGGACATACCAGTCAGTGCAGTGTGTGTTTCTGACAGAGAACAGGGCTACGGATGATGGATGTATTGTTGTAACTATACTGTCATTTACAACTGATTTATATTTTAAAACACAACACAAAAACACACTAGACTCTTTTGTCAATTGAACACAATAGAACACTTTCCAAACACACAAGAAAAAATACACATTTTATTGACAGAATATGCTCCATGTTGAATGGTTCACATGACAGTAGGTTCTACCACAGACACAGACTAACTGTACACAACAGCAGACACTAAGGGCTTGATTCAATCCATAGCTCCGAAGATCTGCATTATAGCGCAATTTAAATTTAAAGGTAATTTCCAATTGAGTCGACATATGCAGCGTTTAAAGCGAATGAAGTCTCCGCAAATGCAGGATCATTGCCTTTACATTTCAATTGCGCTATATTGTGGATCTTCAGCGCTACGGATTGAATGGAGCCTTAAGACCTGGCTTCAATGTGGTCACAGACACAGCCGCAGGAAGTAGGGGTGCCGAGGGTGCTGCAGGACCCCCTGATACATTTAAATAAAATAAAATAATACAAATATTTAAAAAAATTCACAAAATGTTATTACTCCTGTGTGAACTATGTCTTTATTACTCCTTTATGAGCTGTCAAAAATACTCCTTATGTGTCAGTTAGAAGCAGTTAAAATTCTGTTTTCCTGTGTTTTGTATCATATTGTACAACAGCTGAAAAGCTATTTTTGTTTCTTTTTGACCATTTTAATGGAAAACTATTACAGTAAGGTACTTAATTTTTACCCAGAAATAATTTGATATTAGGATAAAAAACACTGCATTAGGCCTTTAACTCTCAGAGAAACCAAGTGACTATGATTGAAGACCCCTTAATATAAATGGACAGACATAAAAATGTGACCATATGAAACATATGACCTCCCTTTACCCCCTTCCCCCTATAACACACTGTACAGTAGTTGGGGCTAGGGTGAGGCTGGGAACACAGTCAGGTAAATACAGTCAGGTAAATATTACATGTTCATCTATGATCAGTTACAGAAAGATACAGACATAGAAAACAGTATCCCTGATGCCGAGGTCAGGAAATCAGGAAAATTCCATCTCAGGTCAGTGTTAGGGATCCAGGTGTCAGTTCTGTTGGGTTTTACTGGTCCTTCGGTTTGTGTTCTCTGGGTTTGAAGGTTGGTTCTGGTCAGGCCTAGGTGGTTTGAGATGGTTCTAAGCGGTTCTAGGGGCTCTACTAGTCGTCGGGTGTGAGATCTCTCGGTCTGAAGTTAAGAGACTGGCTGTTGATGCAGAACCTCTGTCCTGTGGGGTCTGGTCCATCCTCAAACACATGACCCAGATGGGCGTCACACTGTAGCCACACACACACACACACACACACACACACACACACACACACACACACACTGCAGGGTAAAAATAATACAGTAGAGGAGACAGAACACACACCAACACATTTCTCTGCATTATTACCCAGAATGCAACTCACATGTTTACAGAGGACCTCTGTCTCGGCACTTCCCATGGTGTTGTCAGGGCGACGGATGATGGATGCGTGGCTCTCATCGCGCTCCCACGTCCCATGAGCCTCTTTGAACGCTGGCCAGCCTGTCCCAGAGTCATACTTTGCCTCTGAACTACAGAGAGAAAGAGAGACAGAGACAGAGACAGAGACAGACAGAGAGAGAGGTCTAGTAAGAGGTCTAGTCTAAACGCTCATATTCTGGTTAAAATGAAGATTTTAGGGGTTATAGTGAAGTCTGGCGAGGTGTTAGGGAGGTATAGGGGGGTTAGATGGTTACCTGAAGAGGGGAGTGTCGCAGCACACACAGTGGTACATCCCCACCTCACTATGGTTCAGATAGAGACCGCTGAAGGGCTGAGGACACAAATACACACACCTGGTTAACACACAGTAAACACACTATATGTTGTCTTTCTTGAAGCTTCCAGGTCAGTGCAAATGAAGGTGACGAAATGCAGCCCATATCTCATTCTTTAACCAACTGCTCCTATCTTCCACTCTGAGGAAGATTATAAACAAAGAATAAAGTCCATACAAACCTACACACTGAACCCACTGATGTTTATCAATGAATGTCAGTCTATGGTCATTGATGCTGAGGACAGGCGAAGTGTGTGTGCATGTGTGCTGTGTGTGACTCACCATCTCTGTCCCCTTCTCCCTCGTGACCACGTACTGTTCAGGGGTAAGTTTCTTCTGCCAGTCTGTCGTCTCATCATAACGAGTCAGAGATCCCGAGCCTGTAACGCACACATAAGCAAAATGTGTTGAGCTTTTTGTTGCATTTTATTTATTTGTCATTGAAAAAAAATGTCCATTGCATTGTGCTTTTCATTTCCCCACTATAGCCTACTTAGTTTTGAGCACAATGAGTTTCTGCTCTTTGGAACAAATGTGACCCCCAGGAAAGATGTGACAGTAAGCATGTGACAGATGGCTGTCTGGCAACTTCCACTGGTCTATTCTGCATCAACCTATTACATAATAGGACAAAAATACTTGTTTATTTCTTTAAAATTATAGACTATGACCTAGAATTATAGATAGTCTATGAATAGGCGTTATTAAAATAGTATATATTAAACTGATAGACAATAAAGTATCCTATCCAGATGCAAGCTATGTAATTATTCTATGAAGCCTAATTCGATTCTAACAGAATAGCTCATACCTGAACTAGCGGAGACGGGACGGATGAAAACAGGAACCCTGGTCTTGGGCAATAAGACGGACTTGGCAGCCACTCTCTGAGAGATGACGAGCGAAAGTCGGACGATAAAACGAGACATGTTTTCTCCTGCAGTGTTTGGCTGTGCGCTACAGTCCTCCGTGCAGCAAGTGTCTGTATCGAAGTCAAGTGCAGCCTGTTTGCGTTTTCGCTGCTCTGACCTACTCTGCGTTGACCGAGGACTTTCAACGCTCCAGCGAGTTCCTGCCGGTCCCTGCAGAACCGTTTCCCTCCCTAGCCCGCCCTGCTGTCCAGTATACGGTAGGCTACTGGGAAGACCCGGTCACAAACTAGATAGATTATTTAGGTCAGAGTTGATAAGGAAGATAACAGTGACAGAGGCCTATCCCTTCTTTTGTTGTTGGGCTGGATGGTTAAAATACTGTTTTTCCCCAACTATCCTATAAAAAAGAATCCACTATATATACACTACCGGTCAAAAGTTTTAGAACACCTACTCATTCAAGAGTTCTTCTTAATTTTTTTACTATTTTCTACATTGTAGAATAATAGTGAAGACATCAAAACTATGAAGTAACACATATGGAATCATGTAATAACCAAAAAAGTGTTAAACAAATCAAAATATATTTTATATTTGAGATTCTTAAAATAGCCACCCTTTGCCTTGATGACAGCTTTGCACACTCTTGGCATTCTCTCAACCAGCTTCATGAGGTAGTCACCTGGAATGCATTTCAATTAACAGGTGTGCCTTCTTCAATGTTAATTTATGGAGTTTCTTTCCTTCTTAATGCGTTTGAGCCAATCAGTTGTGTTGTGACAAGGTAGGGGCGTATACAGAATATAGCCCTATTTGGTAAAATACCAAAAGTCCATATTATGGCAAGAACAGCTCCAATAAGCAAAGAGAAACAACAGTCCATCATTACTTTAAGACATGAAGGTCAGTCAATACGGAACATTTCAAGAACTTTGGAAGTTTCTTCAAGTGCGGTCGCAAAAACCATCAAGCGCTATGATGAAACTGGCTCTCATGAGGACCGCCACAGGAATGGAAGACCCAGAGTTACCTCTGCTGCAGAGTATAAGTTCATTAGAGTTACCAGCCTCAGAAATTGCAGCCCAAATAAATGCTTCACAGAGTTCAAGTAACAGACACATCTCAACATCAACTGTTCAGAGGAGACTGTGTGAATCAGGCCTTCATGGTCAAATTGCTGCAAAGAAACCACTACTAAAGGATACCAACAATAAGAAGAGACTTGCTTGGGCCAAGAAACACGAGCAATGGACATTAGACCGGTGGAAATGTGTCCTTTGGTCAAGAGTCCAAATTTGAGATTTTTGGTTAAACCGCCGTGTCTTTGTGAGATGCGGTGTGGGTGAATGGATGATCTCTGCATGTGTATTTCCCACCGTAAAGCATGGAGGAGGAGGTGTTTTGGTGTGGGGGTGCATGCTGGTGACACTGTCTGTGATTTATTTAGAATTCAAGGCACACTTAACCAGCATGGCTACCACAGCATTCTGCAGTGATACACCATCCCATCTGGTTTGGGCTTATTGGGACTATCATTTGTTTTTCAACAGGACAATGACCCAACACACCTCCAGGCTGTGTAAGGGCTATTTTACCAAGAAGGAGAGTGATAAAGTGCCTCATTAGATGACCTGGCCTCCACAATCCCCCGACCTCAAACAAATTGAGATGGTTTGGGATGAGTCGGACCGCAGACTGAAGGAAAAGCAGCCAACAAGTGCTCAGCATATGTGGGAACTCCTTCAAGACTGTTGGAAAAGCATTCCTGGTGAAGCTGGTTGAGAGAATGCCAAGAGTGTGCAAAGCTGTCATCAAGGCAAAGGGTGGCTATTTAAAGAATATCAAATATAAAATGTATTTTGATTTGTTTAACACTTTTTTCAAAAGAGCATTTCAAAAGAGCATTTCAAAAGAGTCATTCATATTTGATTATTTGCCTCGGAAACCCCTTAAGACTACATGAACTTAGAAGCTAAATAATATGTTTTAAACACTTTTGAACTCAGTTGGAGTTGAAACAACAGATAAGCAGGCAGCCCCAGCCTGCAGAGAGGGACTGACTGGTTGATCTGGAACAGTGGCAGGCTCGACCTTTACTACTTACACTATGGAACCATGCCAAAGGTGAATACACAACATCCACAATAATCACAGTGTGTGTCTTGGGAACAGATGTTTCAACATCATCTGTGTTATGTTGACAAGACATTACCCAACTTTACTAAGGTCAGACGCTGAGAATTATAAATCCATCGAGTCCATGTGACTTTGAATAATACTTTAATGACAACAGTGTCTTCTGGGTAAAATAACATAGCACAAAGATAGAATGGGATAGCAGCACAGTCTAGTTCAGACAGTTGATAACAGTTTAGTTCAGACTGGTAAGGTATAGTCTGGTATTGTATAACCTGGGGTCGTGTGGTGTGTTGGCCCTGAGCAGCCTCCCAGGGTAGTGTATGAGGTCTATGGTCTATAACAGGGATGGGCAACTTTGATGGGGGTGTGGGCTACAAAAACACGGAACTCAGCATGAGGGACCGCAGTGGCTCGTGGGTCTGCATAGCCACATCCATACACCCCGCCGAGACAGCTTCTAGCCCCAAGCCATAAGACTGCTAAATAGCAATAAAACTGCTAAATAGTTAATTAAATGGTTACCCTGTCCATCTACACTTACCCTATCTTGCACTGACTCAATTAACACTCACAAGACTATACAGTATCTACACACACACACACACAAACACACACTACACTGACACTCTGACACAAAACCCACACACATTCACATACACTACATACACACACACGCATACCAACACATCACACACACACACACATTTTTACACTCATCATATGCTGCTGCTACTCTGTTCTTTGTTTTACTCTTATTATTATCTATCCTGATGCCTAGTCACTTTATCCTGCCTTCATGTACATATCTACCTCAAATACCTCATACCCCTGCACATTGATCTGGTACTCCCTGTATGTAGCTTCATTCTTGTGTATTTTATTCCTCGTGTTACTATTTTAAAATGTATATTACTTTTTAAACTCTGCATCGTAGGGAAGGGCTCACAAGCAAGCATTTCACGATAAAGTCTACACCTGCCGTATTCAGCGCATGTGACAAATACAATTTGATTTTGTTGTGTCTTTCTGAGGCTCTATAGCTCCTGTCCCTGACTGGGCCTTTCTCTCAGCCAGAGCAGGCCTGTTTAACATGCAGCAGCATCAGTCCCACATCCACTCCCCTCTCCCCCAATACACTAACAAATAACAATAGCACAGTGCCTACTGACCACTCTATCACTACAGACTACCAGAACTCTACACACACCACATGAAAACAACAAGGTCAAGATTACAGTAAAGCTAGAAATATTTTAATATTAAATATGAGACAAATGAATATGGAGCCACATAACATTTGGGTGAGTACTGATTAAGGTTGAATATTTTCCCGGTATTTTACAAATATTCCATCCAGAGAATAAATCTATTTTCTCCCAGGTAACCCGGTATTTCCAGCCAAAACAGGAAGTGTCATTCAAAAGCATTATAAAGCATATAAATATGTCTAGATTTGATTAAAGCTTTGATCAGCATGACAATTCAAACCTGATGCTACCTGAGCTTGATGAGCCATATATTAAATACATTTTATGAGCCCTACGTTAACGATGTTGCGCACTGATGTTGGGCGATTAGGCCTGGCTCGCAGTCGGCGTTCCAATTCTTCCCAAAGGTGTTCGATGGGGTGGAGGTCAGGGCTCTGTGCAGGCCAGTCAAGTTCTTCCACACCGATCTCGACAAACCATTTCTGTATGGACCTCGCTTTGTGCACGGGAGCTTGATGAGCCATATATTAAATACATTTTATGAGCTCAAGCCCAATACATACACTATATGGCCAAAAGTATGCTCGTCCAATATCTCATTCCAAAATGTGTTGTCCTCATCTTCATCCTTCTAATGACATCCTTGAATAATATAGGACTAGAATTAGATGCAGAAGGCTTTCACTTGTCTTCACCAAGATTGAATGGTTATGGGTCTGAATAAATAACTGCTATAGCCTACCACCATTGCCCGTTCGCTCGTCTTTCAAACTACCCGTGAGTTCTATTGGCTGCTGTATTTAACGTTCAGCAAAATAGGGCTTGCGTCCCTCTTCGAATAGTCTATTGGTATAAGAAATGCTAAAAAAATTATGTCCAACAAGCAATTCTAGTCTAGATTTTCCTGCATGGGACTCCAAGAGCTAAGAAGCATTTTTTAACGAGAGGCCAGCGGAGCACAGGTGCGTGCGTATTGCGCACGAGACAGAGGCTATAAGTTAGAAGCTTATTATGCATAACCCATCATTAATTAGCTAAATATGAGGCTAATACTGCATTGAATGTATTACCTGAAAGAGGTAGGCTAGGACATCTATATATAGGGCTATATATCAATCCATAACAGGATTATATATTTTGAATGCAATTTGAATGGAGTTGATGGAGAAAGAGAAAGACTGCGAGAGTGCTCACGCACGCACTGATTTAAAGCAACAATATTCGAGTAATAGGCTGTTTTAAAACTCTGCAGCAGCAATTAAAAAAGTTATCATCTTTACAGGAGAGCGACAGTAGAGGTGAAGGGCACAGTGGAGGAAAGATCAGATGGCTTTCAGAGTTAGGGCTCACAGACCAGACATATTGAGGGGAGTGCAAACAATGCTAAGACAAATGAGAGGAGGTCCAAAGTTTGAACAGTTTTGGAACACAGCCCTGGGCAGAGAGAGGTCCAGAAAGCTACGCAGATATATCAGCTCTAAACCCAGGACCCAGACACCCGGTTAAGTCATATACTGTACATGTCTGCAGAGAATTAGTCTCACCGAGTGGCGCAGTGCTAGCTGTGCCACTAGAGATCCTGGTTCGAATCCAGGCTCTGTCGTAGCCTGGCCGCGACCGGGAGACCCATGGGGCGGCGCACAATTGGTCCAGGGTAGGGGAGGGAATGGCCGGCAGGGATGTAGCTCAGTTGGTAGAGCATGGCGTTGCAAATCTGAAAGATCAGATGGCTTTCAGAGTTAGGGCTCACAGACCAGACATACTGAGGGGAGTGCAAACAATGCTAAGGCAAATAAGAGGAGGTCCAAAGTTTGAACAGTTTTGGAACACATTTACATTTACATTTACGTCATTTAGCAGACGCTCTTATCCAGAGCGACTTACAGGAGCAATTAGGGTTAAGTGCCTTGCTCAAGGGCACATTAACGTCATTTAGCAGACGCTCTTAGCCAGAGCGACTCACAAATTGGTGCGTTCACCCTATAGCCAGTGGGATAACCACTTTACAATTGGGGGGGGGGGGGGGGGGGGGGGGGGGGTAGAAGGATTCCTTTATCCTATCCCAGGTATTCCTTAAAGAGGTGGGGTTTCAAATGTCTCCGGAAGGTGGTGAGTGACTCCGCTGTTCTGGCGTTGTGAGGGAGCTTGTTCCACCATTGGGGTGCCAGAGCAGCGAACAGTTTTGACTGGGGCGAACAGTTTTGACTGGGGCGAACAGTTTTGACTGGGAACACAGCCCTGGGCAGAGAGAGGTCCAGAAAGCTCCGCAGATATATCAGCTCTAAACCCAGGACCCAGACACCCGGTTAAGTCATATACTGTACATGTCTGCAGAGAATTAGTCTCACCGAGTGGCGCAGTGCTAGCTGTGCCACTAGAGATCCTGGTTCGAATCCAGGCTCTGTCGTAGCCTGGCCGCGACCGGGAGACCCATGGGGCGGCGCACAATTGGTCCAGGGTAGGGGAGGGAATGGCCGGCAGGGATGTAGCTCAGTTGGTAGAGCATGGCGTTTGCAACGCCAGGGTTGTGGGTTTGATTCCCACGGGGGGCCAGTATAAAAAATAAATAATGGTATGCACTCACTAACTGTAAGTCGCTCTGGATAAGAGCGTCTGCTACATGACTAAAATGTAAATGTCATTGGGTTGGTGTGAGCGATGATCATACACACACATAGCAATGACAGGCCGTCGCTGGTTGACTGGCTGTTTAGACAGATCCTCTAGAGTCAATATCCTCTGGCCAGAACAAGCCTGAGAGACAGAGAGAATGGAGGAGGTAGTGCTGAGATGTAACACACACACACAGTCCTCCCTTCCTGTCCGGGGTCGTGTGTTGGTCAGGCTGTATTCGAGAGACAGGTTGGAGTCCACACACAGATGCATGGACAAACACACCAAACATACAGAACAAACAAAATAAACACTGGTGTCCTACACAACACAATACAGACAGATAAACACACAACTTCAGAGCAGACACTAAATGTAACTAATACAGAGCTATACTGCCATCTGCTGGCTCCTTAGTAAATCTCTCTTGTGGATCACAACTAATACCCTCCTACCTCTCTGGTGATTATAATCACAAAAGCATTTTATTATGCAATCTGTCTTGAAATGTCAGAGGGGTTGGGTTAAATGTGGAAGACACATTTCAGTTGAATGCATTCAGTTCAACTGACAACTGACTAGGTATCCATCTGTGGTATTGTATGGAATCCAAAGCCATTTAATAATGGAAAAAGCTTAACCAACACACACAGACACACCCACTCTTGTATAACTAACTAACCTTTTGGGGACACACAATTCAGTCCCATTCAAAATCCTATTTTCCCTAACCCTTACCCTAACCCTGACCCTAACCCTGACCTTTACCCCAAAACCTAACCTTAACCCTAACCCAAGCTCCTAACCCTAAAACCAACCCTAGCTCCTAACCCTAATTCAAACCCTAACACTAATTCTAACCTTAACCCCCCTAGAAATAGCATTTGACCTTGTGGGGACTAACAAAATGTCCCCAGTTGGTTAAATCTGTGTTAGTTTACTATTCTTGTGGGTACTTCTGGTCCCCACATGTATAGTTAAACACGTCCACACTCACCTCAGCTTGCACATTTCCACAGCAATGGGCTCATCGTTGGCGCACAAGTTGTGATTGGACCGTAGCAGTTTGACCAATGGGACAAAGCCTCCCGCATTCCTCAGCTTAACAGGAAGAGATGGAATGAGAGGAGGGAGTTTGTACTTTTGGGACTATTCCATTGGTTCCATCGTACCGGGAAAACTCAAGAATTGTATATATTTGACCCAGGTGTGAAACCCACACTACGGACAAAGACACACTCATGTCTGCCTGTTCCTCAGCATCGCAGGCGAGAGCAGCGATGGCCTGCATGGCTCTGACAAGTGTGTGTGTCTGCTGACTGCAGTGGCTCCAGGAGTGCGGCCATCGCTGGACAGAATGCTGCCGCGCAGGAATTCCTGTTTGGCCATGTTGGTGAGAACGACCGCAGCATGAGCCACCGCACCGGGAATCATGTGATGGAGCTGCTGAACTAAGCCCTCATCTCCCTCAGCCTCAGACATTACTGAGACACACACACACACAGTGAGACCTCATGACTCCCCCACCATCGTCTCATTCACAACACTCATGGATCAGCTGGAGACTGTCTCTGTCCTCCAAACAGATAGAGACCACCTGGAGAGCTTCTACATGCAGATCACTGAACACCTACAAGACACACACACAAGGAATTAGTCAAATTCTAGAAAATACTTCAGCTTTGCTTGATTTTGTTTACCTGGTAGAATGAATTCAATACAAAGAGCAAACTGCAAGCTTTTCAAGAGCACCTTAAATACTTTACAAGTACTTTCAAGTATGTGATAAATATATTTGACCCAGGTGGGTCTGACCCACACAGACCTTGTTGCAGAGGAACTCCAGCATCCTGTCAAAGCCCTGCTCCTCCCTGAAGGTGACTTGTATGTCGTTATCCGTGGTTACGCTTGCCAGGGTCCTCAGGTCAAGCTGCTGAATGACCGGGATCTCAGATCTCAGCTCCAGGAGCGGGGGAACGCCATTTAGTTCACGCACAGCCACGCGGCTGGTGAGGTCCTACATACATGTAAAAAGGGGCTTTAGCTCAGCAGGCTAATATAGTCTCATGGCGAGCAGGAGACTTGAGTTCAAGCCCTATCGGTCACACACACAAAACACACACACAAACACCTGCACCAGGATGTAGATAGACTCAGAGTTCTTCTTGACATCTGGGTCAGGGCTGGACAGCAGCTGAAGTCCACCAACAGGGAGGCCAGGCACAACTCATGGACCTCTGGCACAGGAACACACACATATAAACACACACACACACATACACACAGAGAGATACACACAGATACAATGAAATGTGACGTGTCACAATGATTGAATAATGACTGGTGGAAACATATGATTAATACTCAAGAAGATATGAGAGCCACGCCGCCACCAAACACCCAGCCAGAGCATACTTTCAGGTGACAGCTTTCCGATGACAGAATGAATGACATCCAGTTTCTTCAGAAGTATTTTTACATCACCTTTCAAACAGAGCAGAAACCGAAATGACCTAACGTTTCCGGCAACAATCTTGTCTTCAGCCACAATTCACCACTGTGTACACTGCGACCGACCCTAAATAACTGATTTAGTTACTGCATTGTGTTACTAATCCTATATCAGTAGTTGTTACTATCCTACAGCTGTAGTTAGAGGAGGGGTCCTTACTGTTGGCAGCGATGACCCCCAGGGCCATGAAGGCGTTGGGGTGGACCAGCTTGTCTTCGTGGGATATGAGGTGAGGTAGAGGCTCCACTGCCCCCAGCCCCAGCAGAGAGCTCCTGTTTTCATCACCTACCACCATGGGGAGACAGAGAGACAGGGAGCGAGATTGTGGGGGAGAGAGAAAGAGAGAGAGCAAGAAAGAGATAGATAGATTGATAGATAGAGATGGCTTTATGCTCAATAGGTAAGCTGCTCCCAAGCTTTGGTCCAGGGTCAAATGAATATATCACTTTCATTGCAAAGCTTTCCACAATCCAGTTTTTTCAGATAATGTGATTATTTCAATGAAGAAAGGATACCATATTGCTATGACGTTAGTTCTCTCACCAACATCAACGGTAAAAATCCTTCTACACCCCCCCCCCCCCCCCCTTGCCCCACCCCCCCCAAAAAAAGATTGGTTATCCCACTGGCTATAAGGTGAATGCACCAATTTGTAACTCGCTGAATATGAGCGTCTGCTAAATGACGTAAATGTAAATGTAAAATATAGGGTAATATACATGTGTGTCATTGTGTTGTTGTGTATTTATTTTACTGTCTGCCTATCTGAATGTCACCCACACACACTATTCAATTCTATTCTATTCATTAGTAATGGTGTGGCTGTGCCTTTAAGAGTTGGCCTGCCTGTCTCCCACAGCAGCACAAGAGGCTCCTGGTATGAGGAGGGTGAGTCATAAACCAAATGAGCTCCACATCATCACCAGCAGACAGAGCAGGGCTTCCTCCAACACCACAACGCCCTGACACAGCACCGCGGCTGGAAACAGCACACTGCACTGCTCTGCACCAAAACACCCAAACGACCTCTAAAAGCTCTACAGCACCTCTGGCCATGCGGGACACTGTCACTTCATTGTCAGCTGTCTGCCTGCCCTGAGTAATACAGATTAATCCCAAATAAAGGTTAAAGATTGGGGGATGGGGATGTGCAGATATTGTATAGCTTTTCATTAATTTATGATTAAGGATTGCAAAAGGACATGCATACAATAGCCTACATAGACACACACACACGGCTGATAATATTACTTTAAAATAAAAAGGTACCAGCATTTATCAATGTCCTTTTTCTAAAATGTGTCACATTTTGTATCAATACAGTATTTTATTTGAGAGAAGGGAATTACACTAAAGATAGAGAGAGAGCGTACTTGGGGGAGGTTGGACTGCAGTGTATTGGTGCGTTCACGAACACTGGGAACTCTGGAGAAAAAAAGGGCTCATGCTGCGTTCACGTCATGTAAGTTATTTGCGTACAGCTTCCTGTTGGTTGATTCTGATACATCCCAAGTGAGAAACTTGGGTACCATGGTGCTTTCAAGACAACTGGGAACATGGAGACAAAAACGAGGACAAATCATGACGTCAGTGATCTTCAGGTCAGAATGTCGGAACTGTAGAAAGATGCCAGTTTCCGACTTGGAATACAGAGTTGGATGACCGTTCAAAACGATTTTTCCCAGTCAGAGCTCGTTTTTTTCCCCGAGTTCCCAGTTGTCTTGAACACACTGATATCGGAAGTCAGAGATTTCTGAGTTTCCACTGGTTTTGAACGCAGTATCATCTTTCCACAACGAGTAAGCAAGTCAGACATTTCTGAGTTTCCGATATGACATGAACGCAGCATTACATGGGGAAAAATCGTGACATCAGTGATCTTCATGTCGGAGAAGTCCGAGTTCCCAGTTGTCTTGAACCCACTGAAGTCGGAGGTCGGAGAATTCCTAGTTCCGTGTTCTGTTGTCGTGAACGCACCATGTAGAGAGGGAGCCAGAACAGAATGGGAGCGTTCCAGGTCGCCTACATTACGCATATTATCATATCGTTAAGTCATATTGCTGGGATTCTTGCAATGATAAACACTACTTCCATATTTGTAGATATCTGATACAGATCTGTAATCTCGAAAATCTATATAAATGCAGAACTGGATTCAACAATGTGGTCAATTGCGCAACGTGTATGCCAATTTAGGCGACCTGGAACGCTACTATTGCCCACTGTCTGCAAGAGGGAATGTCGCTCTGGCTGTCATCCCTCCCTCGAGCTGTCAGTTGACAGTGCAACACCGAGCCGAAAGCATCGTAGGAAAGAACACAGATTTGATCAACCGTAGATTTTAGATTGATCCTCTTTGGTACTGTCATATTTCGAGGCTGACCAACGAACGCGTAGGAGGGAGAAAAACCAAAAGGACTGAATAGCTATTTTAGCGAGCTAGCTTAGCTAGCAAGCTAACGACCGTTAGCTTTGGGCAGTGCTGCCACTACTCTGCTAAAGCTAACGTTAGCTAAGGTAGGAGTGTGCAGTACCAGTAGGCAGGCGATCTGCGATGGCATTTTAGTGTGGTTGGTTGTAAAAATTATTAGTGAGGCTGCATGAACATTTGTATTTTATTTGACCATTGCGGTGCTAGCTACGCTTTTGCTTCCTAAATGTTTTGCCTGGATGCGTTCAGTCAGTTGGGTGTTTAGCCAGTAAGCAATGCTAACGACGTCGGCTCAGTGAGGCTGTCGTGTCGGGGTTGAGGAGTTTGAGGAAGGAAGAGGTGACTTACGATGTTGGAGGGAAGTGTTGGGTTAACGAGTTAGTGGTGCGTTAGCTGACAGTGAAGGAAATAACGTTACTTTTTTACAATACATTATCAACGACCGTAGTTTCGTTAGCCAGCTAACTAAACGCTAAGGCAAATTGGAGTAGCTAGGTAATACTGTTGTTTTCGGATTGCTCGCTAGCTAAATGCAGAGTAAGGGTGATCATTGAGAGGCTACTCTCCCAGCTCCATAAATAACTGTCACTGAGTGATATCCAGACGATTTCACATTACTAAAGATGGCTACAGCGAGCAGCATTGCCGCATCTATTGCGAGCAAGACGAAGACGAAGAAGAAACACTTCGTGGCTCAAAAAGTGAAGCTGTTCCGAGCCAGTGACCCTCTGCTCAGCGTCCTTATGTGGGGAGTCAACCATTCGGTAAGTCGGTCCATTGGGGTTGGTTGGTGGTGGTGGTCAAATCGATGTTTCATGACCCTGTAACGTTACTACTAACTTAAAACTAAAGCTCAGCTACCTAACAATAGTGTCATCTATGTGTCAGAATGTGGTTGACTTGACATACTAGAGACTGCTAGGTGCAAATCAGGGATGACGGCTAGCAGTGGTTATCGTCCTGTCGATGCAAATCAGCATCTGGTCACACCAGGCTTGATTTTGAATTCAAATGTAGTTGTTTTTCAATAGAGCTTTGGCAGAAATGCAATACTAACTAGGTAGCTAAGTGGGCTTTCTCATGGTGTTGGGGTAGATTGTCAGCCATATCATGTGTAATTTCTCCAACTGCATGTATTAAGACATACCACACTGCCTGGGGTAAATGTGAATTGCTGATAGAACAGTTATCATAATATTAGCCTATACTGCGCTCTCGATGTGACACTAAGTAGCTTAGCCTCTGTGTTTTTCAGTTATTTTACTGTGTGTGTGTAGGATATGCTCTCTGAGCTCCCAGGGTCCAGTGTCATGAGAGAGCAGATATTCCCATGTCAGAGAGCTTATCATCGCTCTCCGTCCCTTCCTCACTCTGTCATTCACTGTACACAGAAGGAAGGCTGAGTCAGAGCCATGTAGCTTAACATAGGCTCACTGTCCCCATGTTTCATGACATAACATACTAATTAGCATTTTTACTAGAATGTTGTGATTGTTTTGGATAGAACATTGAAGTTCTAAACCTCAAATGGAGTTTGCTGAATTCTTTAGCATACGTCTGTGGAAGAGTGGCTATGCAAAGAATGAATGATCACCATATTCTGGGTATGTCAGCATTAGATTATCTCTGCAATGCTACACTGGCTGTTTAGAAGAAGTGACGTTTTTACTCACTGAATGCCATGTAAACATAAACTGAGTGGTTTTAAATAAAGAGCAGAGGTTATTTTGTAGATGGACCTGAAATGATTACCCCAGCCTAGCCAACAGAGTAAACCAGAGATTACTTTAAACAGAAAAGAAGCCCAAGAATAAACCTTGGCTGTGTTACTGTAAAGGCGTCCGCATGCTTCCCAGCCAAAACAGTTTGGTAGAGTTCGTGCATATATTATAATTACATTTTGTGACATTTCTGTTCGTTTTGGCTTCGGTTAGTTTTTTTCCCCGGCTGTTCGGACACACAAAAATGGTTCTAGAGGCAAGCCGAAGTTTGGCGCCGAAGTCTACGCCCCTTCATCGGTGATTGGTCAACAGTAGGGATTCTTCAATAAAGTCTTTGTTGTCATTCAACGAGAGACGAATCATCTTCTTTTTTAATTGAAAGATACTGCACCAAATATCTTAGTTAGATGTAAATATGCATGACTAAGATCTCTTCGGCAAAAACGTCAAAATTAATGACAGATTTCTTAAGTTATCTTAGATTAATTCTGACTAGCAGCACTGCTTCTTGACACACTGCTTGCTTAACCCGAAAGCCAGCCGCACCAATGTGACAGAGGAAACACCGTACAGCTGTGATGAGTGTGATTAGAAGGAGTCAGGCGCAGAAGGGTAAATCACCGAATACAGAGTTTATTCTGTCGTACACAGTTGCACTGGATAGCGACAACAAAATACAGGCACAGGGGAACAATCTAACCCGGCAATACAAGGTACGAGTAGCTCCACCGAGCTACACTCAACTCACATAAAACAATCACCCACAAGGACAAGGGGGCAGAGGGAACACTTATACACAGACTAATGAGGGAATAAGAACCAGGTGTGTGTAATTGACAAGACAAGACAAATGGAATAATGAGATATGGAGCGGCAGTGGCTAGTAAGCCGGTGATGACGAACGTCGAAGCCTGCCCGAACAAGGAGGGGAGGCAGCCTCGGCGGAAGTCGTGACAGTACCCCTCCCTTGACGCGCAGCTCCAGCAGCGCGCCGACCTCTGCCTCGGGGACGGCCAGGAGGACGTGGAGCAGGGCGAGCCGGATGGCAACGGTGGAAATCCCGCAACAGGGAGGGATCGAGGATATCCCTCACCGGGACCCAGCACCGTTCCTCCGGACCAGACCCCTCCCACTCCACGAGGT